GAGCAAGACTAACCGAGTTGTGACCTCGATGTGGTTTGTAACCAGTCTTGTGATTGGTTGTTGACAAATGCTGAACAGGCCACGCCTCCAGCTGTGCCGTGCGTTCGGGCAAACCGTTAGGAATTCCTAAATGGAGTCAATTTGTGTAGTTTTCTTGATTTATTCTGCAGATATCGGTAAAATGTAGGTAGGGCTTTGGCGAAATTTGAAGAAGCAACTAATATTCTTCAACCTGGTATTTTTTTTATATTTTATTTTTCATTCTTTTCGTCTGTTTTTTCGAGTTTAAAAAATGTGAGCTGGCTGGAGCCTTCATCCCTTGTCTATTTCTTACACTAGATACCAGCCGATACCCCCCCCCCCCCCCCATAGAGACTGCGTATTACAGTTGATTATAGTTCCTGGGCTCCCTGTGGTCTGCACTTCCCTTCAGAAGATTGGGGGGGGAAGCAAAATTTTTTGAGTAAAAACTGAAAATTGATTCAAATTTTGTCTGTTGGCTCCAAAATTAGGGGTCATTTCCAGAAATATTGAAGAATATATAAAAAAAAGTGCAGAAAATTTTGTGCAAGAAAGTCTTGTGATGAAAGGTTAAATCAGTAACATTTGTCTCAACATTAGCTTAGGACATTTTGTCCAAAATGGCAAATAGTGTCCTGGAACATTTCTAATTATTTGCCTTATTTTGGGTGTAAAACAGTAAATTTGACTGAAAACACTGAAATGATTGAACAAAATAAGGACATTATGAAAAAAATACTGGCAAATTGCATCTGAATGACTGCATGACTGGACAATGTTGTGAACCTGTATATAACCAAACCAGGGCATAGCATGCCATTGGAGAAAAGAGTTCACATGATCCACTTGCTTATCAATCAAGAAACTTTCATAATGTTGACCATTTTGTAGAGATGTGTATGGCATAGCTTTGCCAATCAAATTACTGTGTTCCGGTGAGTCATTTGTAGCTAGCCAGACTTTTTTCAAATGACAAGACCTGTCAAACCATATCTATTGTCCAGAAATCAGTCTAAACTGAACCCTAAGCCATGTTTTCGCGTCTCTGTAGTGACATACACAATACATTGATATGATCAGCAATGTATTGAATTAATTCCTCTATAATTAAAATCTTTTTTTCTTTGTCATCTGAAATATCATACAATTCACTTCTTTATTATAATGAAGAACCTACCTACTATACATAATTCAATCATCTGAAGAAAAAAAAATGATATTTAGATTATACTGAAATAAGAATACCTGAGCACGTATTTTGGACTGGATTTTTGACAAGCTTTTGAAGTGTCTGTAGAGTTCATGGAGGTCATACATACCAACGTCTAAGATATGACAAGGAGTAGTTTCCAAGCTTAAGGCACACACAGGTGTTTAGTTGCCTGGTCACCAACCACCAAGACAACCTGTTTAGCACTTTGCAAGAATGTAATTCTATGTGGTTGATTCTTGAAGAAATGAAAACTTGATGGAAATTGATTCATTTATTCGTATTCTAGCATTATATTAAAGACAATAAGAGTCTTAATAGGAAATCCAAAACTTCAGAAAAAAATAAATTATGATGCAGTCCTTGACCTCTTAACCTAAACCCAACAAGAATGAAATAATCATAAAATCATAGTACAGTAAACCTTCCTTTTTAGTTTTGGTCAACGTGGCATGTACCACAAAACACCAAATGGTTATACCAAGTTTTTAGAGTCATTACCCCAAAAAATTGAAAAATGTGAATGCTTTATAAATTTTAGAAACGGTAGAGTTTGATGGACCGCTGACACAGTCATCCACATTCTTGTATATTTACGATGCATTGTCTGGTGACTTTATAGCGGTTGTCGTATAGTACGGCCGTTAACGTTTTATACCAAGTCCCACTGAGCATTTAGCCAATAAAAGCATGTAGTCCAGTCGGGATGTTCGGCGGCGTTCATTGAAACGCTTGTCTTTGCAGTCACCAATACCTAAGGCGTCCTTATGTCCAGAAAATTGAAACTTAGTCAGGATTTGTGGTCAAACCATTATATCCACTGTTCAATCACTGTTCAAAATAATAATAGAAGAAATAATCAATGAAAAATGACAGATCTGTAGACACTGGTCTCTAGTCTCTATTCTACCCTACCCTCCTCTTGAAAGAATGGTTTAACCTGTATGTGACAGCTGTAGACTGGATTATTCCATAATCCTTATAGGTGTGGTCAGGGTGTGGTTATGATTTAAAGGTCATTACTCTGTCTGTTGAAACCCAACAAAGGCTATATACTTGTCAGAATTGGAACACTTGTAAATTGATTCTTTTGCAGTTATGAAAGCGAAGTTATGTAATCTAACACGTGTCATATATTTGTTTTTGGTGTCCAACAACAGTGTAATTATGACTTGTAAAGTCTCAAAACAAAAATTAGCATTATATAGCCACCCCTCCTCGAAATGTTTTTAGGATATTAGTTTCCCAATATGTTCTTGGTAAACTATTATCAATAACTTTATTATTATTACACTACTAAAAACCTTCAGAGGGTTTTTGTATGGTAAGGAACATAAAAACATACAATACATAAGAGATAAAAATAATAATGATTTAAAAATAATAATAAAAAATATCAATGATTTGAGGCAGTGTTATCTAAAAGATACTGTTGAGTATTGTTACTATGGACACAAGTGTTTCCGGCTTGCCTATGAGGACGTCAAGGGCATTAGTTTATTTTAACATCATACCATAAATATGACAAATACATTAAAGAGGAAAGACTTAGATTATTATTCTGTAGACATGTACTTTCAGATAACATGATATCAAGGGATGAGCATGTTTTTTTTTTTTTTTTTTAATAATACATGTATAATATTTGTTGTTCAATTTTTGAATGGGTTCATATTCACATAACAGTGCACGTAACGTCATGAAACACAACAATATGCACGTAAAGCACAAAACATAACCTACACGTCCGCATGTTTCAACTGCATGTAACCAGAAATCACGGCACGTTGAATACCATCTGTTGATGTGATTCTCATTTTAGTTTAATTCATTTTTATTTTCCTCCCACTTTTTACACTTTTATGTTATGGTTGGCACTCACAGAAAGTTACGGAGGTAAGAGCACGGGTGAATTGAATCTTGTTTTTGTTTGCACAGGCTTTCTGTTATTATCTCGCTCTTATATCGCTTGCACGTACTCCTTGCGTTGCGCATAATTGTAACTGCAGCTGCTGCATTTGTGATCTTTGTCTGCTTTCTGAGTATCTTTTTGTTGTAATATTGTTTGCGTAATAGCGTAACGGTAATAGCGTAACGGTAATAGCGTAACGGTAATAGCGTAACGGTAATAGCGTAACGGTAATAGCTTACTATCTTTGCCTCTGTTTGTAATGCACTGCACCAATTTTCTCCCGACTAAGACTGTTCAATATAATGCAGCTTTGTCTTAATAAGTTAAATTCACAGTCTTGTTGAGTGATGTTAGACTATCAAACCCAGGGCACCCAGTTTTCAAGGCCAAAGTTAGTAAATTAAACTTAGCATATAGAGATACATTGTTGTAGTATAGGGAATGTTACCAAGGGCACCAAGACAAGTTTGATACGATGTATCAAGTTAAATTACCCATGATGCCTCTGTGTAGTTCATTTCCTGTTAATT